TTTTAAAATCATTTGATTTACAAAGTTCAAAAGTACTTATGATATATTTCTTACATATTATGGGACAATGGTAAAAAACAATAAAGGGATCTTTCAAAATGTCATTTACATTTTGGATCATGCAAAAAAAAAAATTTAATTTTTCTGCCGTTGGTCATTGTTTTCTAATTTGGCCAATTTGGAAATAATAATGATATATATGCGAAAAAAAAATAAAAAATAAAAAATAAAAATAAAAAAAAGTTTTCAAAATTTCTAACATAATGAAGTTATATTCTGTATATAATCAAGGATATTTGTACGGTCGAAGATAACTTGAAAGCAATTCCGAATATGAATTATCCTACAAGTTCATTAAAGAGCATTTGATTTCATCTTTAGTCATATGGATAATTGTTATTATTTAGAAAATTACTGTCATATTGAAAGGCGTGATGGTCATTGATATTTGCGACCATCAAAATTACCAATAGAATTACAGTTACCATAAAACTTTCATGGAGAACTATTAAGTTTGGTTTAAAGAAGCTTAGATCGCGTGCGGGCAATGATATAATTAAATCGAAACATAGAGCGAGGGAATTTATACCTCCAAAATTCCATTGTATGCTCAACAATATGGCCAACCGTAAAGTGGTTAGGTAAATACATCCAAATGATCTTTATAGTTAAGCAAAAACCCAAATCTATTGATTTTACAAATGGTGAACGATCTTACACATTAGGAAGGAGAGATATTTATAGTTGTACAAGGGTCATATTAAAAAATGCTGTACGTAGAAAGCGTAGTAAAATAAATTTTAATTTTAATTTTACTTTTGCAAATTAAAAAGTGTTATGCAATAAACACCATGCTTAAAATACAAATATATTAAACTTATTTATTAATAGTTTTCATTCACTTTTTTTTCAATATTTTTTATTACATCTAATGTTATCTAATATTTGAATAATTTTATTTTTATTTTTTAATACCATTACTAACTACTTAAAAATATTAATTAACATATTTCCAGTTTCAAAAAGCAATAGGATAGCATATAATACTGATTACATATAATACTCTGACTAGATTATAATTATTAATGATTGGAAAATAAGTACTAATACTGATATTAAAAGTACAAAATACTCAAATTTCCATAAAGTATATCCATGTAACAAAAAATAATTCACACAAAGGTATAATATATAATCAAGATATTAAAGCATCTGCAATTATTAAAGTATATCTCTGCCCTTTAAGCAAAATATATATTTTGTGGACTTTCGTGATTTAATAGCCTCATTAGGTAGTTTTAATAATACTATCTTAGGTCATAATTAAACCTTGCTAAATATCAGTTCAATAGTGACTTAATTCACATTCATCTATACATATAATTTCTCTTAGATATACTAACTAAAGTGCTCTTTTTATATTTGCTTCTTCATCTTTTATCTACAAATTAAATAAAAGTATTTTATCATTATAAATATAAATGAATGTTAACTAATCAAATATAGGCATCAGTTTACTTAGACAAATTTTTGATCTATTTACTAGTTTTATATATAAGCATAATTTATTTATGATAGGTAGTGTATTAAAAACAGAATTCTATTAAATTCATATGTTGCTTATGTGATAATGATTACATTATCTTTATAAACTTCAAATCTAACCTATTTAAATTCAATTAAAAAGAAAGCAATTTACAAGTCATTTTGATTGCTTATAATTGCAGAAAAGTCTAATTTTACTAAAACTATCATGTTTGAAAATTAAGTTGTGAAATTTTTATATAGTAATAAATTTTAGATTATTAAGTGAAATGAATTAAACAAAATGTTCATTTATAATTCAACCTTTATATAAATTTCAAACAACTTATTTTCAAGTTTACAATATAATATAAATATATAAAAAATAACAGTTAAAATCATAAGAATATAAGTTAAAATATCAATTTTATAATTATTTTTTTTACTAATTTTATAATTAATTAATCTAATTATTAAACATTAAAGAATTGCTAATTTTTACATTTATTTATTAGTGATTGTAAATTATAATTACAGACTAAATATAATAATTAAAATATCATTTAAGATAAGAAATATAGTCCTTGACGAAAAGAATGGCAGAAACATATTTCGACAATATGGGGTCTTTGTAATAGAAAGGGAGAAAACTCCAAAAAAATTAAAATTTTAGTTTATAAGCCAAAAATGTTCTAAATACTATAATTTGT